TGAAAATTACAAAAGACGGTAGTGGTCGAGATCGTTAAAATCGTTGGGTTGCGTAGGCGGTAGTCGTAGCGTTGGGTTTCGAGTTCGAATCCGGGAGCGGAGTCAGTTTTTGTGTTTCATTTTTTATGATATATAAATTTATACATCGATTGTTGGAATGACGAAAAAAATTTCGTCAAAAAAATTTAGGTCCAAAAAATTTTGTGAAAAAAAATTTGGCCTGACAGAAGTGATTGATTCTCACTTGACATTAAAGCCGGTCACTGGGACTCTAGGCACCCGAGTTTTGCAACCCGAGTGCGACAAAACGGCTGTTGGGTCGATGTTTCATAGTCGAACTCGCAGTATTTCGAAGCGTGCGCAATATGCCATTTGGCTCCATCTCGATATGTCTAAAACTGCTAGTTATACAATTTGACGTTATATAATTGAAAATTACAAAAGACGGTAGTGGTCGAGATCGTTAAATCGTTGGGTTGCGTAGGCGGTAGTCGTAGCGTTGGGTTTCGAGTTCGAATCCGGGAGCGGGGTCAGTTTTTGTGTTTCATTTTTTATGATAAATAAATTTATACATCGATTGTTGGAATGACGAAAAAAATTTTCGTCAAAAAAATTTAGGTCCAAAAAATTTTGTGAAAAAAAATTTTGGGCAAAAAAATTTTAGTCAAAAAAATTTTTGGTCAAAAAAAATTTTGTCAACAAAATTTTTGTTCAAAAAAAATTTGGTCAAAAAATTTTGGAAAAAAAAAAATTTGAAAAAAAAAATTTTGAAAAAAAAAATTTTGAAAAAAAAATTTTGAAAAAAAAAATTTTGCCCAAAAAAATTTTGGCAAAAAATTTTTGGAAAAAATTTTTGGGAAAAAATTTTTGGTCAAAAAAAATGTTGGTCAAAAAAAATTTGGTCAAAAAATTCTTTTTTATATTAGACCGATATTGACCAATATTAGACCGATATTGACCATATTGGACCGATATTGACCAATATTAGACCGGTATTGACCACTATTGGACCAATATTGACCAATATTAGACCGAAATTGACCAATATTAGACCGATATTGACCAATATTAGACCGATATTGACCAATTGGCCCAAACAATTTTGGTCAAAAAAATTTTGAAAAAAAAATTTTGGCCAAAAAAACTTGTTAAAAAAATTTTGGAAAAAAATTTTTGGTCAAAAAAAATTTGGTCAAAAGAATTTTGGTTAAACAATTTTTGGTCAAAAAAATTTTGGTCAAATAAAATTTGTTAAAAAAATTTTGGGAAAAATTTTTGGTCAAAAAAATTTAGGTCCAAAAAAATTTTAGTCAAAAAAATTTTTGAGCAAAAAAAATTTTGGTCAAAAAAAATTTTAGTCAAAAAAATTTTTGGTCAAAAAAAATTGGTCAAAAAAATTTTGGAAAAAAAAGTTTTGAAAAAAAAAATTTTGAAAAAAAAAATTTGCCCAAAAAAATTTTGGCAAAAAATTTTTGGGAAAAAATTTTTGGTCAAAAAAAATGTTGGTCAAAAAAATTTTTTTATATTAGACCGATATTGACCAATATTAGACCGATATTGACCAATATTGGACCGATATTGACCAATATTAGACCGGTATTGACCACTATTGGACCGATATTGACCAATATTAGACCGATATTGACCAATATTAGACCGGTATTGACCAATTGGCCCAAAAAAATTTGACAAAAAAATTTTTGGTCAAAAAGTTTT